GGGGAGGCTTTCAGGCATTGACAGCCTCAATGCTTTGGAAATGGGTCATGGAACTTGCCAAGTGGATGGGGGTTCCAGGGTCTAGAAATGAGAAAAGCTTCCAGAGTAGGAGTTGCTCAGTTTTGGGTGACTGTGGGAAAGAATGGGATGTCTAGGGGCATCCAGGTCATGATCTCACGGTTCGGGAGTTTGAGCCTGGCGTCCAGCTCTGGGCTGATGGTACAGAGTCTGCTTGAGATTCTGTCTGTCCTTCTCTCTGCCCCTCCCCTAATCAAAATAAATAAGTAAACATTAAAAAAAGAATAGGTGTCCATGGAGGCCTCCGGGATTAACTGTAATGGCAGGGGCCCTGGGTGTTGAGTGGGGGTTCACTGAGAGCTGAAGCCAACAGGGCCACAAATCTGGGGACACAGTCAAAGATTGAGTTGAAGCAACAGTTCTTAGGTCATTGAGGATGTTGGCAGGGTTGTTGGGTGGGGGCATCCAGACAGAAGGCTGACCCTAGTTACACAAGGTGGAACCCTAGTGACTGCTTCATCCAGAGCCTCAGTTTACCCCTCTGGGAAGTGAGGGTAATGAGATGTGCATTGTAACATTTTCAAGGGATTAGGAATAAAGCTTCCAAATCACCTGCATTGTGTCCAGCTAAGCTATGTGGTAGCAGTCCTGGTGCTTATCTTTAATCAAAATTGATTTTTTTTGAGAGAGAGAGAGAGAGAGAGGGAGGGCTCATCAGCTCACCCGATGTGGGACTCGAACCCAGGAACCATGAGGTCATGACCTGAGCAGAAGTCAGATGCTTAACCGACTGAGCCACCCAGGCACTCCTAATCAATCAGAGTTGACAGAGCCAAACCCCTTCTCAGTCCTGCTTCAATGTGGTTTAAACCAATGCTTTTCCTAGCCTTGTCCACTCATGAATATAAACCTATTGCCCCTTTTCACCTCATCTCATTCATGGATTTAAGTCAATTCTTCTCATAGCCCCACCCAATTCTCAACAATTTAATCAAACCTTTTTTTTCTTTTTTTAGTGGATTGAGGTTTAACTGACAAAATGTGATTAGTTTTTAACTATGTTTACATCTCTGATACTATTACAATCAAGATAGTAAACATAATCCTCACTGCCAAAAGTTATCTCTTGCTGCCTAGTAATTCTCTTTCCTGTGTCCTGCTCTTGCCAGACACTGATTTATTCTATCGCTGTACATCAGTTTGCATTTTTTCTAGATTTTTCTTTATTTTTTTTTTTCTTTTTAAGTAGGCTTCGTGTACAGCATGGAGCCCAATGTGGGACTTGAACTCATTACCCTGAGATCAAGACCTGAGCTGATATCAAAAGTCAAATGCTTGACTGATGGAAGCACCCAGGCAGCCCTAGATTTTTTTAAATTAAAGAATAGCTGACATACAATATTCCATTAGTTTCAGGTATACAACATAGTGATTGCTTACCACAAGAGTAGCAACCATCTGTCACCATAGAACACTATTACAACACCATTGACTGTATTCCCTATGCTGTACCTTTCACCCCATGACTTTGTTCCATAACTGGAAGCCTGTATCTTCCACTGCCCTTCGCCTATTTTGCCCATCCCCCCACCCCATCCCCTCAAGCAACCACCAGCTTGTTCTCTGTTTTTATGGGTCTGTTTCTGCTTTTTGTGTTTGTTCATTTGTTTTGTTTTGTTTTTTAGATTCCACATATAACTGGAATCTAGATTTCTATATAATGAAATAATATGTACTCTTTTTTGGGAGTATATCTGGCTTCTTTCACTTAGCTGGGTTATTTTGAGATATTTCAAAAGTGCAGAAATAGAGGCACCTGGGCGGCTCAGTCAGTTGAGCATCCGACTTCAGTTCAGGTCATGATCTCCTGGTTGGTGAGTTGGAGCTCTGCATTGGGCTCACTGATGTCAGTGCAGAGCCTGCTTGGGATCCTCTGTCCCCCTCTCTCTGCCCTTCCCCCACTTGCACTCTCTCTCTTTCACTGTCTCTCTCTCAAAAATAAATAAACATTAATTTTTTAAGTTCAGAAATAACAAGTAAAACCAATCATGAAAGTAGTAATTAGTAAAACTTTATTTTTTTTTAATTTTTTTAACGTTTATTTATTTTTGAGACAGGGAGAGACAGAGCATGAACGGGGGAGGGTCAGAGAGAGGGAGACACAGAATCTGAAACAGGCTCCAGGCTCCGAGCTGTCAGCACAGAGCCCGACGCGGGGCTCGAACTCACGGACCATGAGATCATGACCTGAGCCGAAGTCAGCCGCCCAACCGACTGAGCCACCCAGGCGCCCCGTAAAACGTTATTTTTAAAAAATGTAATGTTTATTTATTTTTGAGAGAGAGAGAGAGAGAGAGAGAGAGAGGCAGAAAGAGAGGGAGACACAGAATCTGAAGCAGGCTCCAGGCTCTGAGCTGTCAGTACAGAGCCTGATATGGGGCTTGAATTCAAGAACCAAAAGATCATGAACTGAGCCGCAGTTGGCGGCTTAACCAACTGAGCTACCCAGGTGCCCCTAGTAAAATCTTATTGTGCACACACCAAGAAAATAATTGGTAAACAAGGAGCACTCAGATCAAAACATGGAATGAAGCTCAGGGGTATATAGTTATAAAGCAGTTTATACAGTAAGAAAGTGGTGACTGTTTATTCTTCACAACGATTTGCTATAATATTAGAATTTTCTTCAGTGATAGGGAATTGGTCAGTGGTTACTGCATATCAACCTTGGGAAACAATTTTTTTTGTTTATGATTTCCAGAAGCATAAGCAAGAAATGACCCAAGTCAAATTAGCCTTGCAAGAAAAGTTAAACTTGGTTTGTATGACCAAACTGGTTTTGTTTCCTCCGCAAATTTTCTAAGCTGTTCCCTGTTTGGTTTTTATTCTAACAGATCCATCAAAATTTTTCATTCTTTTTTATTGCAGAGTAATATTCCACTACGTAAATATTCCACAGTTTGTTGATCCACTCATCTGTTGATGGATATTTGGGTTGTTTTCAGTTTTGGGCTATTAATGAATATTATGGGCTGAATCGTATTGCCCCAAAATTCATATGTTGAAGCCTTAACCCCCCAATGTGATTGTATCTGGAGATAGTCTTTAGGAGGTGATTAAGGTTAAATGATATCATAACAGTGAGGTTCTAATATGATAGGATTGAGGCCTTATAAGAAGAGGGAGAGAGGGAAGCCTGGGTGGCTCAGTTGGTTGAACATCCAACTTCAGCTCAGGTCAGGATCTCGTGGTTCGTGAGTTTGAGCCCCTTGTCAGGCTCTGTGCTGACAGCTCAGAGCCTAGAACCTGCTTCAGATTCTGTGTCTCCCTCTATCTCTGACCTTTCCTTGCTTGCTCTCTGTCTCTCTCAAAAATAAACATTAAAAATTTTTTAAAAAGAAGAGGGAGAGAGCCTCTCTCTCTCTCTTTC